GCGGCAAGCTGAGATTAGTAAATCCAACTGTTCCAAGGAAGCTGTGGAAGTTGTATGTACTGCAGTCCTCTTCCCGGAAAATGCTGCATCAAGGCAGTAGAGGACAGATAACGCTTAGCCGGCCTACAAATGTAACAACTACAAGAGGTAGCTGGGCCTACAGCGAAAGGACTTTCATATGAACCTTCATACCTATGTTCCAAAGAGGGCGATGAAAGCTGCGACAACTTGTGTCTTGAAAAATCTCCCCGGCTGAACTCGCCTACAAAGCTTGGGTGTACCCGCCAGTTGCAACCTTTCTTGTTAAAAGCCACTTCCCCGCGTACAAAGCAGTCGTGAAGGGAGAGGTTATGGCGGACTGTGTTCTTCCAACGGGCTCTGTTCTCTGTAAATTCTGGGTGGCGTTCTTCTATAAATTGGTAGATCTCAGACAAGGGAAGTCTTTGGCGTGGAGAACTGAGAATGGCATGTGCTATTACTGCTACGTACGACAAAGCCGAGGTATTGCGCTTTCGCTTATTACTTTTTCTTTCCAATGGTATTGTTGGACTATTACTGTTCAGCATCATGCTTTGCTCCGGCCTGTTTTCCATCCTTTTTCAAACCTGAGCGTTATCCTACAATTGCCAAGTTCGTCCCTGTTAGGCAAAGTCCGTGTTTACCAAACGGAGCTAGGGCAGTCTTGTTTTATATGATGATTGAGAGCACGTTCCTTTTGTGTCGTACACTAGTTAGTCAACCAATGCTTGGTCGCAATTTGCCAATGGACAAATCCACACCACAGGCACTTGATGTGTTATCGCAAAATGTTGTTATAGCGAAACAATGCTCTTGAGGGCCCATAATTAGATGAATGAGGTTGGTAATTTCGCGCCTATCTTTTGTTTTGGAAATCTGTCAGTTGTCTTAGAAATATTCCAAAACCATGTCAACTGCCATGTGACAAGCACCTGCAGTCACCTTTAAATTTAAGTGAGAGAGTTTTTGGCAAGCAACATAGCCGATGACTTTGTAATATACCTCTAAGTATTTATAAAACAGTCAACCTCAGTCATCAGCGACGTTTCTAACGTCATCCACATAAATTAACATCTCGACTATGTTTTTCCGCGGTCTTAAGTAAGTTGTTCCGCTAAATTTTCAGTAGCGCTTGTGCTACATTTAAAGAAGTGCGTAAAAAAAGCTAGAAAATGAGAAATACTTGGAATGTTTCGGAGTAGTATTTCATCTTTTGTGTGATACTTGTATCCATGGCTTTTTTTCAAAGTAATATCTGAGTGAAAGAAGTCATTCTCTATAGCACGTAAATACTTATATCTAGCCTGGGGCAAAATAAAACAGCCAACAAAACAATTAGCATTCAAACAGCTTATTTTCCTTCTGATAATTATCCATTGCCCTTGTCCTATCTGAATCAACTGTGGATCCATAGAACTGTAATAACTTTATTTAGATCTCAAGATTTTTCAGACTGTAAACTCAAACAACGTCTTGTCGCATGTATTGAAATTTTGAATAAGCACCTCAATTAGGATAATATTGCTAATTCAAGGATGACTGCGCGCCCAAACTAACATTAGTTAAGGCAAAGTTCTTTTCCAAAACGGATTATCCATCGAACTGTGTTACTGTTGAAATACTTTTAAAACGTATCCAAGGGTTTTCAGATTTGTTTTAAGCATTTACGCGAGGAGACTCGGTTGTCAAGTCATTATTCAAACACTGAATAAACCATAAAATACATTAACTTCCCGAACACCTGTTTTAAGCCTGAGCGGGTCAATAATGTAAACAAAATAGCCTCCCACAATCTGTTCCTGTTATCATCACGGTATTACGCTGCTATTAAAGGTGTTTATCAAATGAATACCGATCGAAAAACGCAAAAGTTGGCTGGGTAACGTAAAGAAACGCAGGAACTTTCGGTAAAGAAACCAAGCAACGGCTTATGCATGGGTATCCGCAAATTTGTCCAAAATAAACAGCAATAGGCTACATTAATTTTCCGCTTTCGTTTATTCTTACCCCTCAGCTCTTTGTTTATCTAAGCAAGCCCAGTTTCTTTCTATTCAAAGACGACTTTCTTCAACATCGCATATGTGAAATTCTCCCAATTATCGTCATGTAGATGACGGTATACCTCACTAATATGCCCATCACTTGTTGACGTTTAAAAACTTATACGTAAACCATAAAAAAAACCCATAAAATTTCTAAGCTTTAGAATTGTAGGTTTACATCCGGTCAAATTTGGCGAAAAAGAAACGAACATCTTACTTTGTTCTTGACACCGTTCTCTCAAAATAGTGTCGGCAAATATTGACTTCCTTTCTGCTGGTTTGTCTTTCATTTAAACTTTGGCACATCATCATTATGAAAAGGATGACAAGCAATTTTCCGACGCATTATTTGCCTCTCTAGTTGGTTCAAGTTTCTCTCACATTTTAGTGCAAAGGATGAAAAGGACGGAGATCAACGTCTTAAAAAAAGACGGTTTAAATCATTTTGGAAATCCTTCTTTAAGGTGTTATGCTGGTTTATTATATAGAAACTGATGAAATACCAGGATTTTTCCTTTTACTAAAAAATCATATCTTCATCGCGCACAGTGAAGATACTATTTTTATCTTTCACGTGTGAGGATATTGGCGTCGCCATAGTTACTAACATAACTAGCCAATTACAAGAGAGCTTCTAGCTCAGGAACAGAGTTTCATAACATTTTAGTGACAGGCGTTTTGCGATAGGTGACCACTTTAATTAAACCATTTTGCTGTTTCGAAAATGGATAAAAAAAAGTTGTGTTCTATAAAATATACAGAACACTACATGGCCGCTTGGGGATACGAATTTTATCTTCTCTTGCTGAAAGTATCTCTCACGAGTGAACGAAGCGAACGAGTGAGATATACCGTGACAGCACGAGAAGATAAAATTCGTATCCCTAAGCGGCCATGTAATATCCTCTATGTTATTAGGAGGCAGTGTGGCCGAGTGGTCAGCGCGTCGGACTCGTAATCCGCTGCTCCCGGGTTTGAGTCCCGCTCTGACCAATAACTGGATTTGTTTCACGGTAGCTCCGAGTTCAAATCCTCGGCCACGCTTGTAAATAGTCAACTGGTTTGCCTCCGGCCAGTTGGGATTCTCAACAATTTATGTCCAATTTGAATTATTTGTTTCTGTTGTTTATTGTGGGCCTCCTGGAAAGTAGCTTGTAGCTAAGTGTGGCGTCACATCAGATAAAATTACTTACTTTTTTACTTTACTTTTTTATATACTGTGGAAATCAACAGCGCTGATCGCTCATGCAAACACAGGCGGCGTAGGATTTCTGTACGAGAGACCTTTAAAATTGAATCTCACGAAGAATGCAAGGAAATAACAAACAGTGCCTCGATACTCAAGTGGCGTTGATTGCAAATAATAATAATGACTTCTAACCTATTCACACAAGCAAATCTGATTTAACTATATGAGAATCATAAACAGAGAAATGAAAAACTGAATTTTCCAAAGGATTTCAGTGATCGGTAAGTTGTATTTTCAATGTTCCAAATTTTAAGTTGACAAACTTCGGTTTGAGAAGCTTCTACGGAGAAAAGCATTTTAAACCGTGTTTAACAAACAGCTTTTAGACATGTCAACCTTTAGTGTGAATGGTAGTCGAATTACTTGAGTTAGATGTTCGTGAATATTATATTAAGACCAATGTACCGTTTTCCTGTGTCGCATTTGACGTGGTGAAAATGTTGGTATTATTTCTCTCGCTGTCTGTTCGCTTCTGGATCCATTTTGACATTAAGTTTTTAGTTTTAAGGAGAATCATTTTGACGCGAAACTACCTACTTTCATCTTCATAGACAGCTAACGAGGAACTAATCTCTATGTTATCGAATCAAACAAAGACTTTTTTACGAACGCTGCACGTGACTGAATGATGGCTGACTGCAATTTTCGATTGCCTGATAATATGGTCTCCTACTTTCGCCTACTTCATATCTCGAAGGCTTTTTTCCTTTTTCTTCCGATTACTTTTGGTGTCTTTTTCCTACCCGAGGAAAGAACACAGGATTCTCGTTTCTTCTTTGGAGAAATGAAAGTCTATTCAGTTGATGACGGAAATTACACTGGCAAACGGGTCAGATGCGAATCAATAGACATCTTTTTCGCGGTTAAACCGCGTTACTCTTTTATGTGAATTCACGACCTCGTTTTAACCGCAATCTATGTAGGTTAGACCATGAATATTTGAGGGTTAGGGAGGCAGGGGTTTATCTGCCGCCTCACACTTATAGAAGGTTCTCTGAGATACAAACACTTTTTCGTTACCTACAACAGTAGTTAAGAATTTTTTCAACATGTATGTGTTAAATACCTTCTGAGTCCGAAATATGGGATTTAGTTCTGAGCTGCACTCGGGTATTACGACTCGGATGATGGCCATGGGCTACTCAAACGTGTTTTTTAATATTTTTGAAGAAATATTAGCCGCTAACAGCTGACAGCGTTTGTTCATTTGTTTTACAAGGACAACCTTTCAGACTGTCTGTAAATAGAGTATTCAGCCCAATTGCAAACAGAGACAACAAAGCCCCTCAAAATGCAGTTATATAATTATGACCTCGAGCCGGGATCATTGAGTGGGTCGTCTGGATATGATGGTGTCGAGTTTACTTATGTCGCGTCATATTGTAGCCGTTAATCATGACTATATCGTACTGTAGTCAAGGTAGAAAAGAAAACCAGGATTAAAAAAAATTCGCTTAAATCAAGTTAAATCGGTAAAATATCGACACCAGGAGCAAACAACACACGTATGGAATAAGGTAAGCCATTTTTATTGAATATTTTCTCTTTTAACTACTTCCATGGATATCTAGTAGAAAATCCCATACAAATCCTTATAAATCGATATGCCATATTGTGTTCCTTGTGTGGTTCATATAGAGAGCCTGGGCTACCAGTGGGCCAAAAGAGATAAACTCAATTGCTGACTTCGTTCATGATGTACTACTAAGGCACTGAAATCTCCCACTGAGATTATACATTACCCGAGAGATAATCATGCAAAGGAATTGAGTAGAACATACTATAAATTGTCAAAATATTCCAAATTCCATTATCGAGTAAACGTGACGTTTGTGTAAAAGCGTAAGAGATTGAAAGAAGCTCCATCGCCATGTCCGTCATAGCGTATAGAAATCTACTCTCTGAAATAAGTCGGCAACTCGATCACCATGACTATGGACTGATGATCGAAATGTGCGAATTAGAGGACGAAGTTAGTGACATACGAGACGCTCGTTCGTTTATAAGGAAGCTCGAAGAAAAGAGGCATGACAGTTGATCGACTGGGAGATTTGGAGGAAGTTTTAGAGAGCCTCGAGGAGTTGTCTCTCCTAGGAAAACTTAAAAAGTTCGAGGACAAAGGGAAAGAATGCAAGAGTTTACTTCTTCTGATCAGTCGTGCTCTCGATTGCGACGAACGTCATCTAGAACGACTCATCGATATCTGCCGAAGAAAGACTTCCGTATATTTTGGAGGTAACATTGTCAACGTTGGAGCGTTATTTAAAGAACTTGAAAGCCGCAGATTTTTGGGATTTCGTCATCACGACATTCTGAAAGAGATTTTGACAGAGATTGAAAGAGAGGACCTACTAGCAGAGATTGAGGATTTTGAGAAGCGGAGAAACAAGACGGATGCGTTTGAAAGAAATAAAGGTAAGGATTTCTTTTTGCTCGGAAAAAGCTAGGAAGTCTAACCTTTCGGAAGGAGAAGGGATGGGGAAGAGATGGGTTGAACGAAGTAAATATCCTTTCATGATTAGCGCTTATATATTTGCTTGGTTTTATCGATCATGACCTATGCTCCTTTAGATAACTATGTTTTTGTTTGATTTTCTTAAAGCACAAGTTGTTGCCTTGGCAAAAGGTGTTGGTGGAAGATTGATGGGAGGTAAAAACTAAGGTTCACAATTAAGTATGGTTTGTGCGTGATCCGTTAAATCGATTTGTGTCAGGTTACATTACATTATTGCACTACGTTACATGACAAAACCAGCCTCCATCCGTTGCGGCAGGATAGCTTTTGATCTTACTTGCAACTCATGCCCCCTGATCAGTGAATCCATTCTTCTTTTTGTTTATACTGTGGTAAAGACAGTTATTTGATTACTGCACGCTTTTGTTCCTCTGTAAAAAGGTGTGTGTTATTCAATGCTGATGCCGCGCGTCAGTCTCTGGAGGTGATGAGTGTATCCTGATATTATGACCTCTTTATAAATCATCGCTCACGTCACGAAAGAACTACATTTTATGGCTTATTTCCTCAAGTAGATGGCCTGTCAGAAACGGCCGCTTGCAGATGAAACAACACAACATGTTGCTCTTTAAAGCATGTGTTAGAAGTCTCTGTAAAACTGAAATCTTGTCTCTTTTAATGCGATACAAGACTGACATATTAGACATGAAAATGGCACTTATTCACGCCCTCTACGAGACACATTTTTGTGCGTGACTGGGTGGGTCACGGCCAACTTATGCTTTCAAAGGTCCAACCATTCTGTAGTCCTCTATTGCGTTTTTTTAATCTTCTTTTTTATTTTTCATCTTAGTCCTGAACATAAAGACGGCTTGTAAGGTGGCTAGAATGGGCTTGATGTTATTTACTCTCCGTGAGCTCTTAAATCGATGTACAACATATGATCAGTTATTCAACTTCTTTGAAGACTGTGTACTTCCTGCCGATACACAACTAATTGACGTCAGGGAAGGATGCGTATGCTTCACAGTTCAGGCCGTTAATAGAAAGGGGCTCACTACCTTGTGGCAAATGTACCGAGATGGCACCCTTAAATCCCGTCTGTATAATCTTTTGGTGACCGATGAGATGAAAAACTTTGCTGGTGGTGAAGAGAACGTTGAGCTGGATGTAACGATCGATGAAAAGGAATACGAGGAAGCTCTCATTGAGCTAATCAATGCGACAGAAGGTACTCCGCTTAGATCCATCTACTATTTAAATGCCCTATACTTGAAAATTACTGAAATTAGCGTAAGTGGTTAATTTTCATTCCACTTTAAATTGATTTGATGAATGAATTTTGAAAATAAATATCTTATCTTCATTTCAACGAAGACAAATGTTCTGGGTCGATTTCGTTGAACTCACGTTAAGTATGTGTTCGCGCCTTTCCGAAATGTTAGAGGCTTCGCTGGAAGATGGCAAAATGTGTGCAGGCTTGGATTCTTTGTATTTCTATAGTGTTGCAAGGTTGCGGTAAAATCCGATAGAAAAGCGAATAAATCGATTTTAAACACTGTTTCTTGTGTTTGTTAGCAACTATCAGACAACTAAAAGTACAAAATATGGGGCTGCATCGCTTAGGAGCGTGTCCGCGAGAGCACCAGGCAGTCGTGCTACATACCATCTCTCGGATTTCCTTGAAACTTTGCCAGTTTAAAGGGTCTACCCCGAAACTCAAACAGACGAAGTGA